AGTGGGTGTGCTGGCAGAAATCAATAAAATTTGTGAGGTGCTCAGGCAACAAGAGCTTAAAATTGGAGAATTAACCAGGTCATTTAAATCTGGGAAGACTTCTCAGAGGAAACAATGCTCACAAAAATATGAGAAAATTACTTTTGAATGCTGCTGAAAAGCCATGGCAAAATATACTTCTGAAGAAATGATGTTAATTGACAGTGAGGGAAAAACCTGCTGCTTGCAAGTTTTCCTAGTCATAAACATCTCCTATTCTGTTCTTAGCACAGAATCTTATTCCTGTCTCAGGACTTTGCTTTTAATGATCTTGCTCATCATGATCTCAGGGCAGGCTTCTTCACATTCTTCTCATGTTCCCAGGATCCCTTTACGCAAACTAGTTCTCTGCTTATTATTCTCTCACAGTATTCTTTTACTTTCTTTATTAAATGCTTAATGCAGGAAATTCGTGCACTCAGGGGGATCCCTCAGCCTGGCTTGCACCCTCTCGCAGTCCAGGAGCCCTAGGGGGATGTCTGATTGATGCCTTAGGCATTCAAATATCCTTAGCACTACTACAGAAGTGGGAGAGGCTCCCGTCACCACTGCTGCATATGCCAGCTGTGAGTCCAACTTCTGACTGAGCAGTGCTCCCACCATGGGAGCATACTAACCACCAGGGAGCAGCTCCTGCATTGAATGTCTGCCCCCTGGTGGTCAGTATGCATAATAACCACCCATTATTTCAGTTTGATTGATTTGCATTATTAGCCTTTTATTATATAGGACTAGAGACCCCTTGCAGGAAGATTCCTGCAATAGGGCTTCCTGCTGCAGTCTCCACAGCCCCACTGGCTTCTCTCTCTTCTCCTCTGTCCCACCTGCTTCCCCTCCTTCTCCATCACCCCACTTGCCTGCTTCTCATCAGCTTCATTCCCTTCTGCAGTGCTTGGCTTCTTTCTACACTGTCTTCAGTCTTTGCTCTGGTCTGGATATGCAAATTAACCACTATCTTGGTTGGGTTAATTTGCACACCTGCCCTGATTGGCTGGTGGGCGTGGCTTGTGGGTATAGTGAAGGTATGGTCAATTTGCATATTTCTCTTTTATTAGAGAGGATATGTAATAACCTTGATTTTTCTTCTATTTACTTGTTTACTGATGGTCTTCAATATTGAAATGTAGGCTTCAAAAGTCTGGCTCCTGTCCCTCTTGTTCACATCACCAGTGTCTGACACCTGGTAAGTGCTCAATAAATGTTGCCAGATGAAAGAGAATAATGTAGATAAATATTTATATGCATAAATAAAAGATGATAAAAATAAATGTATATATGAGAAGTTTATTCTATTTTGAGTAAATAATTGATTTTGCAGAAAGTTAACAATGTAGCAAAATTTCTTAAAAATTCCCCCAAAGATGAAGCTGCTACATAATTTCACCAATTCTTTATTGAAGAAAAGAGATATATTTTGTTGTTTGCATAATCTAAGGTTTATTTTTAAAAGTCAGCTACTAGAAATTTATTTTTTTTGCATTAAAAATAAGGGGATTAATAGATAAAGAGACATGTGGATGGATAGATAGTAAATGAAGAAGTTTGCTAAGATGTTCAAGTTGAAATTTAGGTGATGGCTATACTGATGCTCACTGTAAATTTTTTTCAACATTGCTGTTTGCAAACTTTCATAAATAATGTTGAAAAGGAAAAGTACCTGAGCATATTCATGCCCTCAACAGGGTTTAGGTTCAATCTTCTATATTTCCTGCATCTTTAGAGTTGATGATTAGGTGATTAGCAGGGAGATAGTCAAGAAAGTTCTTTATAATATACTGATTATGCAATACTTATTCCTTAATTTGTATACTTTATATTTGGCATCATTTCCAACCAGGATAATTGTGTACTCACTTGGTTAATCAAAAGTTTGGCAACTAGAACCTTTGGCCCTCTCCTATTCCTTCAGCTGCACTCTCAGAACTGGTTCCAGGGGGTTGAATACAGTCAGACCTTGAGGGCAACTCCTGGGTCTTAGTTGTTGCAACAAGAGGAATCATTTTCTCGATTGTGACTAATAAGCGTCTCATTTGGGTAAAGTCTGTCATCCTGTCATTTTAAAAATGATTCACTACCTCTCCTTCTTGTGTTTCTGTGTGACTCTAAGGCTTCTCTTGCTTTTGGTGGGTCTAGGATGGGAGGAACCCTCACTATAATAACAATAACCAGCATCAGATGGGATGGGAGTTCCTGGCTTGTGAAACTATTCCATTTGCCTTGCCTCATTTGATTGTTCTGACTATGCTGTGATAGATGTAGGCCAGGTAATATTATGTACCACACCTGTTTTACCCTTTGAAGTATGAAGTGTATACATAACCTGGCCAATTTCATGTTAGAGTATTAAATTAAAGAGCTGAAATAAGAATCTAGGTCCCAGATTACTAATGCAGTCACCCTTACTTAATGCCTAACTGAAAACACATGCAATTTCTCAGAGGTAAATTTCACCAGGAGTTCAGCTTTAAAGGAAATAGGATTCAGGTAAGGCCACATAAAGACAGCCACAGGGAAGGTGAATTTTCATTGGGTTGCAATCATGCTAAGTCATCACAAAATCCCCAATCCATGTCTTTATCCTGTTCTTCCATGTTTGATGCAGTTAAAGGTTAAATCTCAGCTTGACTACTTCCAAGTGAAACTTGTCTGAGCTGAGTACTCTTTTAAGATTGGTGAGTAGAAGTAAGTCAACAGGAACTCTTTCCAGGTGGCCATGGGCCTTTCATGGACCCCTCCCATCTTCCCCTTCTTAGGTACGTGATCTTGCTGAGGTAGAAATGCTTATTTCATTAGCTTCTGGGAAGCTATTAGAGATATTCCAGAAACACCAACTGCCATGCCTTCTAATGCCACTTAATTCCACATTACTTTGAGTTTTCTGGCTTGGAAATTAATGAGCATTGACTATGGAGTCAGACATCTCTGGATCTGAAACTCTACTCCACCACTTTCTACCTTGTGACATCAGGCAAGTTGCTTGGCCTCCCTAGGCCCCGACTTTTTCTTCTATAAAATAAGATTAATTATAGGACTGTGTCATGGGACCATTAGGAGAGTTAAATAAAATAATGCCAATGAGGGGTACAGTTCAGTACTAAGTGGCTGGTAGATACTCTTAAGTGTTGGTAATAATTTTAATAATTCAGAGTTAGGATATGGAAGTGCTTTTCCTATGTTAGAAAAAATTTACCTAGTTAGAAAGAATTATATTTATCTATATCCCTTTTTTCCTTCCTCCCTCTTTCCTTCGTTCTTTCCTTCAGTACATCTTTACTGATTCTGCATGATAGGGTGGAATAAAAATTATTAAGGAATCACAAATGAATGTAAAATTATACCTGTAGTAATTGCTATAGAGCATATAGAGAAGCTTCCCTGGGGTGTGCAGGTGAGTGACAGCTAACCAGATGAGAAGGGAGATTGACTGAGAGGTTTAGACACTGGGTTCAGGAGCAAAGATACTGTTGCAGAAGAAATTGTCAGGACTCAAAAGAAGCCATTGGGGCTGCAGCAGAGAGAGCACGTGCCAGAATGTTATAAGGTAGGGCAAGGTACATGGGGAAGGGCCAGTGCAGGCAAAGTCTATAGGCATTTTTCCAAGTTGTTCTTTATTCAAAGAGCCATGGGAATCAATTGAAATGTTTTGGGTAGGACTGTATTACAACAACTAGGAGTCATTAGAAACCTATGGTATGAAGGGCAGAATGGAATGTCCTGCTGGCTGGATCATCTAACTTCCAATTCAGTGCTCAGAGATAGGGTAAACTGTCAAAGTAACAGGCCTCGGTTCTTCTCCTCTGAGAAATTTATTGAACAAGTAATATAAATATAGTCATGTGTCTCCCCAGATGCAAACACCAGTCATAGCAGGGTGAGATAGAGAAATCAATTGGGAGATTGAATTCAGGAAAAATACTATTTTTCCCATTTTTTCTTTTTTTTATTGTTTAAAGTATTATAAATAGTAGTACATATGTCTCCTCTCCTCCCCTCCACCCCCGCAATTGACCTTCCCCCAGCCTCCCCTGTACCCCTGGCACATGTCCTCTGCAGCCTCCCAGTGTCTTGGGTCCATTGGTTATGCTTATATGCATACATACAAGTCCTTCACTTGATCTCTTACCTACCCTCACCCCCCTTATTGACTAGTACTAGTAAGTTAAAATATATTCCATTAACGGTTCTTACCTAGCACCATTTTTTGAACTATTGTGAGAGCTGGGAGAGTGATAGAGAGGTTCAGTAGCTAGTATAGTATGTCTGTGCTTTTGCTCATATATTCATGGGGGTGGGGTGGGGTGGAGAGCAGCTTACAGATGACCTTGGCTATAGGGAGAGAAAGCAAATGGCATGACCTTCATTCAGCTTTCACGTTTCCCTTACATAATCTGTCTAAATCTCCAAGATTTGTTCAGTTTCACAGTAACTAACTCCATTTGGGGAATTGCAACATGGGCTATTTCCACCTTGAGGAAGGAGTGTTTTGAGGTAGTTAAGTATGTCCAGGGAGAGGTCTGGTTGCTATTTCCAGTGACTAGGAGAACAAATCAATGCTTGAACATCTCTGGGAGTTGGATAGAAAAAGAAACCACTGTGTTCCACTCCCACTTGCAACCCTGATTTCAGGCAGAAGTAATCTTCTGTAGACGCACCGGCCGGAGGATTTTTGGCTCTTATCAGATCCACCCAGCGCTTATATTATGAAGAATTATGAAGTTAACAAAACTTTTCTCCCTTTTCATTCCCTACCCAACTTCCCAATGGAATATTATTAGTATTTAAATGTTCATTCCTCACAGACAACCCATTCTCATGTCTTAGCTTTGGCATGCATGGATTAGCCTTAGGACATGTGAGTGTTTTAATGTATGTTCCTTCATTGCTTCTCTGTGGCCCCTGCTCTCTCTGCTTCAACCCCAGTGGTTTCTTTCAAGTCTCCACACTTATTTTTTTTTTCTTTCCTGCCACAGGGTCTTTGCTTCACAACCCAGGGATTAAATTAAGAAAAAAATAAACAAATAACCCCCCCCCCCCCAATATTTTGTAGAGTTTGGAAGAAGGAGATGAAATGCTTCCTGGTAGAATGTCAGACAACAGATAAACCCCTGATGCTGAGGATGGAGGTCATGCCATTTGTTTTTTTTCCCCCTTGCTGACAGATCATGTGTAAACTGCCCCTCCCTCTGGGAATAGATGAGCAAAAGCACAGACATATTAAACATCATTATACTGGCTACTGAGAGTGTTGACTCATCCTTCTATATTGAAACTCTCACGTCCTAAGACATGCTTCAGCAGGATATTATGTAACCAATGAAAAATGCCTTACATTTTTCTATAAACTAGCCTGTGGTCTAGTTTATAGAAAACATATCCCTCTCTTGCAGTAGTAATAAGGTTTGGCAGTTCTGTTTGGCTGGTAGGGATTAGGCAAACAAATCTTATAATCAGTTAGAGTCTATTCTTACTTTACCAGTTGCTGTTGGGACTAAATGTAGGAAGCACTTTTAAGAAATGTTATAACTTGGAAACAAATATATACCAGTTACACATGTGCAGTACAATAATGGAAATTTGAAATGAGTATTTAAATATTTAGAGATTTTAATGTTAATTATACTCAACATTTAAAGAAAAAGAAGTTCAAGTGTTTAAAAAAGAAATAAGCAAAAAAATTGTGCTTCACCAGGAACTTCTTAAATGTACGATTCTCTTCATAGAGCAATTGCCCTGTTTTTCAAAAAGTACTCTATGTGAAGTCTCTCCTTGACCCTCTTCTGTTTATGTCCACATTGTCAGTGAGACTTTTACCTGGCTCCTATACTTAACGCCCAGCGACTGCAATGATTTGAGTAAGGCCTGTTGGTAGGACTAAGTTAAAGATCTTTTGGAAAAAATAATAACATTGGACTTCATTTCCCATTTGACACTCTGGTAAAAGCCATCTTGTGTTTTCTCTGCTTCTTATTTTCAGAGGAAACCTTCAGAGAAAGAGTTATCATGTATCCTTGGAGTTCACACTCCTGGCACAATCCGGTATGCCAATGGCACTGACAGGTAAAGTGGGAAGTTCTTACACATTCACCAGCCTCCTTGAGAGATGCAATTGCGTGCACATCAAGGATGGCACCTGCATCATGTTTCGTAGTATGCATCCATCCAGAGGGCTGCGGATTTCTTCAAGGACCTGTGGGAGGAGTGAATAAGATTATCAGGAGGTGAGACTCTAAGATAAAAGCTGATACTCCGTGGAACAAACATATGCTCTTTCACTTGGTTCAGGCCATGTTGTCATTTTCAGTTATATGTGAAAAATATTTTTTTCTGTTGCCCAGTGGGGGGAGTCAAATACACTGAATTTTTAGCAGATGAGGTCACCTTTTATGGAAGAGATTATTCTTTCATTTACTCTCTTCTGTATCCCAAACCATCACCTACCCTTTTCTCTAGTTTTTTTTTTAAACTCTTTTGAGATTCTACAAGATAAAGCATGCAACTGTATAACAATCCATCCAATATACATCTACCCATCTTATTTAATAATATGAAAGATACTTTTCTAGGCTCTGGGGATGCAACAGTGCATAAGAGAAAGGTGGGTCCTATCCAGGTGGTTTCTGGTCTAGTGGAAATTAGAGAATTTATTACCCAATATGTTATTTAGTCATGATTATGACACAAGTCACGAGTAAAGAGAGCCAGGTGCTGCAAGAGCATGTGAATGAATCATAGGCTGAGGAGAAAAAGGCATTTGAGATGAGCCTTGAAAATCGACAAGGGCATGTTGGAAGAACATTTTAGGCAGAAGAAAAAGTGACAACGGAAGTGAAATGGCAAGGGCAGGGGGTTATGTAACAGATAAGGGGGCCAGGTAACTGGAGGGCAGAGAAGGAGGAGAGGGATAGAGTCTAACACTGGAGCACTAGGCAGGGATCAGATCAGAATAGGACTGGCCTTGTTGGCTTCTTTCAAGATACTGTTGTGGTTTTGTTTGCTTGTCCCCTCCACCCCCCAATCCTTAAAGAAAGTTATTAAACCCAGATCTCTGGCTGTTAGTCTCATCAGCACAATGCTTAGGGAACTGAATGCTTCAGGATGGGTATGAATTTTCAGTTCCCCCAGGGCTTGCTATTCTTGGTCAGTTACCCATGGGATCAGTTTATAGGGGATCAGTCATCCCTGTCCAATTCACACATTTGTGTCCTGCTGGACCCTGCAAGTATCTTTGTTTGCAACCCTGGACCAGAATCTTTTTTTTTTTTTTTTAATCTATTTTATTGATTTTTAACAGAGAGAAAGGGAGAGAGATAGAGAGTTAGAAACATCGATGAGAGAGAAACATCGACCAGCTGCCTCTTGCACACCCTGTACTGGGGATGTGCCGGCAACCAAGGTACATGCCCTTGACCGGAATCGAACCTGGGACCTTTCAGTCTGCAGACCGACGCTCTACCACTGAGCCAAACCGGCTTCGGCATTTTTTTTTTTTTTTTAAATCTAAGGACCAGAATCTTTGAGAGTCCCTCCCACCACTTAAGCTGTCAAGCATGCAAAGCCTCTCTAGGGGACACAAAGGCAAATAATACACAGCCCTGGTTTTAAGAAGCTTAAACTTTAAAAAAAAAATTTCTAATTTTTTATTGTTTAAAGTATTCCTCTATCCCCTGTCGCATGCCCTTCCCCCCCCCCCCCCCCCGCAAAAAAAAGCTTAAACTTTTGTAGAAAGGCATTTCCACTAAGTACCTAGAAGGCAGAAGGTACATGGTAAAATAATAATAATAATAATAATAATTATTATTATTATTATTATTATTATCAGGTCTGCAGTTGATGCTATTCATGTCCATGCCTGGCATACAGGAGCCCCTTAATAAATGGTTCTTGGGTGAATGAATCACAACCCAGTGAATAGTCTGGGGACCTGAAGAAAAATGAGGGTTGAGTTGAGGAGACTCTGTTATTACCTGACAATATCTCCAAATGCTTTCAGTATGGGCTTATTCACATACTGCAATCCATGTTTGGCACATAGGGACCTCACCAGAGGTGCCACCTTCTGATAATTATGGCGGGGCATAGTGGGAAACAGACTAGGGAAATAGAAACAGGAGATATAAAACTCAGACCTACAGAGCATGTGGAAAGAGGTTTCTTTCCTCATTACTAAATAAAATTATGTCAGCAATGCAGACCCAACCTTGACTTTGCATAATATTGCTTTAGGAAGTTAAAAAAAACTCTTACCAAACACTCTTATCTTATCTCTTAACCTTCTGTGAGCCCTGTAGTTGGCAATGTTTGGGAGGAGCTAAGAAAATAAATATTAGCACCATAAAAAATGTTTATAGTTGGCAGCTCAAATTAAAGTATGAATGTAAAAAAAATCATTCTAAATTATCTAGATAGCTGGAGATATTCACCTTCCATCTCTGTCTATCTGTCTCTCTATACATCTAACTCCTGCAGGATGGATAGGTAAGTTCTAGTAAAGGCATATGGGGAAAAGTTCTTAGATAGGAATAAGAGTGAGGAAAGATGGGCTTTCATCCAAGGCTTTTACTAATCAGCCAGCTGACTTTATTGGGTTTTTATCTCCTCTTTGGTAAAATATAAATAATAGTTATGTCTTGTTTTGGTGGCATTTTAAAGAACTAACATGAAGGAAAGGATAAAAAAAATCCTATGAATAGGTATAAGATCTCTTCCTTCACTGTCATAGAAATGGCTTCAATAAAGAGATTGTGGGAAGTCTCTGCTGAAACTGGTTTGGCTCAGTGGATAGAGCATCAGCCTGAGGACTAAAAGGTCCCAGGTTCGATTCTAGTCAAGGGCATGTACCTTGGTTGTGAGCACATCCCCAATAGGGGTGGTGCAGGAGGCAGCTGATGGATGTTTCTCTCTCATCGATGTTTCTAACTCTCTATCTCTCTCCCTTCCTCTCTGTAAAAAATCAGTAAAATATATTTAAAAAGAAAGAAAGAAAGTCTCTCCCCAGAATATTCTGGGGAGATTAACTCAAAGGATTATCATTTACTCTTTCTTTAGGGCATGTTTGCCTAATTGACCCTGGTAATGTATTTCCAGATGCCATTTGGAAATTGCAGCAGAGACTGGATTTCATTGTTGATTATTTTGTAACCTCAGCTCTAAAGATACAGATACAGATATTTAAATTACATTACAGGTATTTAAATTAAATTACAATTACTTTTCAACACAACTTGTTTACTCAGGTGTCATGATTTTTCTTGGGTTTTTCCAACAAACCGAATGCAAAGAAAACATCAATTTCTAAATCCATGGGTAATCTGGAAACCAAATCACTGTTAGTTTCTAAGATTTCACTCTATTTACTCACTATTCTTGTACCTCCTTTTCTTTTTCTTCTTCTTTACTCTCAATATTAGTAGAAAGATAGCAATTATGGTTCATTTTTTCCCTCTGAGATCCCAACTCTATGGCTCTGCTCTGGACTGTATGGGGGCTATTATAAGTCAGAGCCCCTCCCCTGTTCATGGGTTGTTTCTATTACTCACTGGTGCTCGATTTGGAAGTTCAGGTGCCCAGTGAACCAGTCATTGAAAAAGGACTGTTCAACATTACAGGTGGCCAAGACCTGCAAGAAATAGTTTACATTAGATAGAAATAAGGTCAAATGTCAAACAGAGAAAATGTTTAATTCCCCTTTCTCCCAGGCAATCATTCAATAAGTGCTCATTGATTACCTCTTTTGTGTAAGAAACTATGAGGAATAAAAGATATAGGTGGTACCAGGTAAATAAATAGCTTATAATTTAAAACATAAATAAGACATTTTGCTAAGAAATATATATAAGGCAATAGATATGAAAAAGTGCATAGAATCTGAGGGAGCTAAGTCACCATCAGCTCTTGGATACAAAAGACTAAGGCGTCACCAATGAGGACCTTGGCAGATAAAAGTGAGAATAGAGGAGTTTGGTAGAGATTGTAGGGGTTAGAATCCATTTCCATAGAATGGAACCAAAGGGCTTCTTAATGGGGAATAAAGCATTCAAGGATTTTAACCAAGGGTTCTGTGCATAGAAGTACATTCAGTGTAAATATTTTCCTTTGTAATCTAATGTATTTTATTTTATACATTGAAAAGTATCATCATGTGGAGTTTGTAGGCTTCTTCAGACTGCAAAGATTAAGATTCTTTGTGAATGTTATTTTATTAATACCTTTCTAAAGTTTAATTCCAGTTGACATTTTGAATATTATTTTTGTAGTTGTTCTATGTCAGCATTTCTCAAAGCATTCTTCAAAAAATCTCGGGGTTCCCTAGGATATTTTTCAGGGAATCTGCAAGGTCAAAATGATTTTTGTAATACTTCTAAGACTTTTTTTTTCTTCTTTTCATTCTCATTCTCTTGTGCTTGTACAGTAGATTTTCTCAGAAGCTACTAATATAGGATGGTACCATCACTCTGATGTGTTGCTTTGATTCTTATATTACTTAATAGTGAATTAATAATAAATTCATAGATGTTTGAAAGTGTTTTAATTTTAACTATAGTAAATATCCATGAATATTTATAACCGCTATAAACATAAGCTCTTTCAGGTTCCCAGTGACTTTTAAGAATGTCAAGTGGTTCTGTAACAAAAAAATATGAGAACCACTACTTGATGCCTTATGGTAGGTCCACTGAACTTGGAAGTGAGTTTGGAGAAGGAAGTAGAATTATGATTGGGTTCTCCATTCAATTGTTGCTCAGCAGGTGGAAGGCCGAGGAGATAGGGTTATTTTGCGCTGGTTAAAACTCTGAATCATTCCCAGATGCTTGGAGAGCATGTCGTGTTTCCTTACTGAGTCTCTCTACTTATACAAAGAAATGAGGTGCATTCCAGTGTCCTTTTGGGTGTTAAATTTATTCTGTAATTTAAAGGCTGTGTCACGTGGTCAGAAATCTTTTCTATAAAGTATCAAACTGCAGATATTTTAATTCTCTGTCAGAACTACTTAATTCTGCTGTAGCATGAAAGCATTCATAGATAATATAAAAAATGTATGAACATGGTCGTGTTCTAAGATAATTTTTTTTTATAGAAATAGAAAGTGGGTCAGATTTGGCCCTTGAACTATAGTTCACTGACCCTTGGTTTAGAGCAAAGGCCCTGAAATCAAACTGCCTGTGTTTAAAAGCTGTTTGTACCACCTATTAACTATGTGATCTTATGCAAGTTACTCAAGTTCTCCATTCCTCAATTTTATCATTTGCAATGTGGGAGTAATCACAGCACCTATCTCATGTAGTTAGATGCACAGTAGTTGACAGTGCTTGGTTTCTGGCAAGGATTGGATAAGAATGAATTTATATTATTGGAGGTAACCAGACTCTAAATCATTATGCTTTAAAGGATCCTCTCCCAGGAACTTAATGAAGTTTACTACCTGAGTACTGAGCCAGTCTCTGTTCTCCTCTCTGCTCATTTTCATTGGTATGTGGCTCATCTGCGTAACACATGCAATCCAGGGACTTTCAAGAAACCTTTTGGAGAATAAAAGGAGGAATTGATGACTCCTTGAGGTGATACAGTCCCAATCACTGAGTTTACAAAATTGCTGACAGAGTTGGCTGAGTATTGGAGGAAGTAAAAGTGACTCCAAGGTTCCTGTAAAATAGTGGCCATTTATTTTTCTCTTTAAATCTAGAAAGGACACACTAGATATTTTTGGTCACAAGATCTACCTCACTGCCTAATGTGCAGAAGCAGTGCCCCAAAGTTTGCTGTAGCATTGGTGCAAGGATAAAAAAACAAACAAACAAACAAACGTAACTTAAGGGCATACAGGGCCTGGGCTTTGTCATCAGATAGAGCTGGGTTCAAGTTTTGGTTTGGTATTGCCATTGGACCTTACAAACGCCGTAGTCTTGGGCAAGTGATTTAATCTCTCTGAGCTCCAGCTTCCTTAGAAGAAAATAAGATGGTACTATCTACAATACAGGATCATGTGAGGATTTCAGCAAGTAAGAGAATGCCTATTAAGCCTTTAGCAAAGTGCCTAATACAGAGTAGATATTATTATCTTTATTATTATGTAGGACTTGGAATAATAAAGTAAAATAATGAGGGGGGAATTTGAAGAGTGCTATTCAATGAGAAGTCATTTTGGTTTTGGGAAAATTCCTAGTCATAAAATAAGTTTTAAAAATTTATTCTTTTCCATTATCTTTGGAAGGATTATGATGTCCAATTTTAAAAGATTTTGGGGTCAGGTGAAATAGTTAATTGGAAATTAAGCAAGTGGGAACAAAAAGAAGATTGGGTCAATATTTTTTTTTTTTAAGGAGCACTTCTTACTCAAATATTTCAACTGTTTTTTTCTTCACAGTTACAGAGAATAGGGCAAGGTGCCATAATCTTATGCTAACCACAAATGGATTAACATAAGGAAGATAAGAGAATTATCTAGGGAATAAGTGGTTATTCTTGCTTTCTTACTTGACCAAATATATGAGCAATATTGTTCCGAAGATTCCGTAGAAAGGACCAAATGCGATGAAATATCGGATGTAAAAACTGCTGACCCAGACAATGTCCTGCAAAGAAAAGTGTTGAAAATTAGATGCTCTGAACACAATCTCACTTCTCCTTCATTGGGGTAGGGTTCCTTCATGTACTGGCTAAATCTTATGTCTCACTATTCAAAGAAGCTCTATCTGAAAGAGACTAAGCAATTTCTTTTCCCATTTTCTACTTGATTTAGCTTCAGAGAATGAGTTGTTACTCACCTTCCAATATCTTCTGAGGTACATCACTTGCATAGATTGCAGGTTGAAATATACAGGCATGAGGAGGGGAAGCGCAACTGAAAACAACAACAATAACAAAAAACATGTTGAATAAATGAGTAGAATGTGTCCTCAGTGCAAGTCAACAGGGCTCTATCTCCTTAACATGCCACCTGCAATGTTGCCTCTGAGAAGGGCAGCAAGCTTGAGATCCCCAAAATGGGATTTTTGATTATATGAGGCTGAACCAGGAATTTGGTTCAAGCTTCCTCAAGAACACTATGGAAGCACCCAAGATTTGAATCATTCTTGCTGGAGGCATCCTAAAAGAGCTTTTACTGTGAGTTTTCAAGTTATCTTAAGTTCTATGGAAACCTTCCATCTTTCACAATCCTTAGGTTAGGGCCTGGTCACAATATGTGAAGGCAGAAGTAGAGAAGTTGTACTCCTTTACTGGCTAAAGAATCATTTAGCTGCCTTTCCCTCAGGATCAGTGAGGCCAGAGCACAAACAAGTTTAATAGAGAACCTTTGGGTTTTGACAGACTCTCTCCTTGACCACACTTGAGTCAGGTCCTCTGAGTTCTCTTCCAAACTAGGCTTGTGCCCACCTGCAAACTCTCAGCACAAATGATTTCATCCATTCCACATATTAAGAAACTTGAACAAATACTAGCATGGTTTCTAACAGCTCAGGGCCACATCCCTGGGATGCCTTTCTTAGAGCATTTATGTTAGAAATCTTACAATTGTAAATGCTTTCTCTGTCCCACTGAGATTTATCTTCAGTGACCCAGAAATGGCTTCCTTCGGGATTTGAGAATCATCCGCTTGAAATATAATCACGAAGAAGGTTAGGACCCTGTCTCCCAGTTGCTGTGGGAGGGTAGGAGCCTAACTTCCATAAGCACCAGTAGCAGACACAGACGGCCTAATCACATTGACCAATTTCTCATCCCCTCTGTGTCTTTCAGTAATATCTATTAGCATGCCCCCATGTTTTAAAAGTGCCCCACTTTTTGTTCTAGCAGAGTTGAGTTCAGTTTACATTGAAGCCCACTCCCTTACTGCAATAGCTTGAGTAAAATATGTCTTGCCATCTCTAACAAGTATCTTGCTCTGTTTCCCTTTGACAGTTTTAGTATGGTTCATTTGTACCTGAGATGCTAAGTTGGCATTTGAAGGGAAAGGACACAATGAAATAGCCACTGTGGGCAGTGTGGTTTGGGAGGGGAGATTCTGCAGTGATTCATTCATCACAGCATTCATTCATTTTTCATAAACTAAGGGCGTATTGCTGCATGAAAGATGGGAATAATTCAGAAAATAAATTCTTATGTGAACACACATCTAGCTAGGTTGGAGGTTAGCTACCTTTCAAAATAGGGCACCTATGTCCTTTTCCTTCTTTTTGGTCGTGCAAGAGAAAGAGCAGGTGATTACTATAGGATAAGCTGCAGGATTCCAGCAGTGGAAGGGGCAACAGTGGAATGTTACACATGACCACAGGTCAATGTTACACATGACCACAGGCAGCAAATATTTGGGAAAATCAGATAATCTGCAACAGAGCTTCTTAGCTTTGGCCCTATTGGAATTTTGGGCCAAATAACTCTTTGTTGTTAGGGGCTGTCCTATGTATTGTGGGATGTTTAATAGCATCCCTGGCTTGTACCTCCCAGATCCAGTGCTATCTCTCCCCTTCTGCTGTGATAACCAAAAATGCCTGTAAAAATTGTCAAATGTCCCACTAAGAGCAACATTGCTTCTGGTTAAGAACCCTGATCTACAGAAAATGTTTGTATCCTTCCCTGATTTTGGTTTATTTCCCAAATATTTTAGATGAACATTTTGGGATTCCAAGAAACCTTTTTATGGTGTTGATTTTGGTTAGGATCAAAGCATTTGGCTTCTGATGATCTTTATTAGTATCAGCATTATTTAGCTAACCTGTTTTCTTTGTAATTCTCACCCAAGGAGTGAGGAAATGCTTCCCATTGTTTTTTTTTAGAGAGAGTGGAAGGAAGGGGGAGACACAGAGAGGAAAGAGAGAAACATTGATGTTAAAGAGACACATTCATTGGTTGCCTCCCACAAATGCCTTGAATGAGGGTAGGGATTGAACTTGTAACCCAGGTACTTGCCCCTGACTAGGAATTGAACCCAAGACTCTTAGGTGCCCAGGCCAATGCTCCAACCACTGAGAACACTGTTCAGCGCTACCCTATTTTCTTTTAAGCATGGACCCACATCCCATATTTCTATCTATCTATCTATCTATCTATCTATCTATCTATCTATCTATCAATCATCTATCTATCATCTATCATCTATCTACTATTTATCTGTATATCTACCTATCATCTAGCACCTATCTATCATCTATCTTCTACAACCCTATGTAAGCCATGGAAACAGCCAGCTTTCTTTCACATAGAAGCTATATAAGTGGCTTTTGTTCCCGGGTCTCTACTTTTTCTGACATCATACTGTCAATGCTTAGGCATTCTTTTCCTATTTTTCTTCCCTTCCTACCCAAATGCCACTATGCTTTTCTTCTTGTAGGTGTTTAGTCTTTCCACAATTAGAGCCCTAGATTCAAGATTCCTTGATTTGGCATCCTATCTTTCATCGTTCTCAGAGCATTTCCTTCCCTACACAATATCCAGAGTGATGAAATGCCTATTAAAGATTCCTATTTGCTTCTCCATTTTTCCTTTTTCAGTTTTCCACCCCCTGTTAGTCTGAAAGAAGGCATTCTGCTTCTCTCAGTTATAAGATAACATTGGCTGGTCTCTTTGTGAGAGCATTCCAGTCATGTCTTCTGGCTTGACTACTGCTTGATTCATGGAAATGGAATGATAAGGAATTTGACTTCAAGGAGACTCACCCATGTAGAAGTAAAGGTGCTGCTTTTCATAGTCAATATATTTGATTTTCTTCTTGCCATACTGAATGGAGAGAGAATAAAACTTAAATAAGAGATAATATTTCTGGCCTTTACACTCGAGGACATCTGTGTGTTTGTGTCTAAAATCTCTATGGATAGAGCTATCTGAGTTCATTGGTTGCTGAACTTAAGGCATTAAAAGAAGCAAAAGTGGAGTGCGGGGAAATATTGTGGTATCTTTTTGCCTTAATTAAATATGAGCGATTCTTGTATAGATGGTTTATTCCATTTGACTACTGTATGTGGATTGTGATCATTTAAATTCTTTTTAATTGGCATAGAAGCCATTTTGAGATTTTTTGGTCCTTCTGTGGAGTGGTGATTGAAAAGGCACATTTCTGATGAATTTTTAAAAATCTTTTTTATATTTTATTGATTTTTTACAGAGAGGAAGAGAGAAAGATAGAGCATTAGAAACATCGATCAGCTACCTCCTGCATACCTCCCACTAGATACATACCTCCCTAACTAAGGTACATGCCCTTGACCGAAATCAAACCTGGGACCTTTTAGTCCACAGGCCTATGCTCTACCCACTGAGTCAAACTGGACAGGGCTAATGAGTTTTTCTCTCTTCTTTAATAATAGTGTTTACAATTCTGCTTGAAGCTCAGTCTCTATCTACATTCATTCAATAGGTATCTATTGAATGGTCATGTGATAAAAGATAGGCTTGGCCTCTTCTATCTGTTCCATCTTTTCTCATTTGTGTTCTGATTATGGATCTCATGCTGTAATTTACTATTTGTAAAGCACAGTGATATTATATATATCAGTACTGGAAATTTGATTTATTTTCTAGGGGGTTCCTTCATTCATTTAATTTGTTCTCAGTGCATGAAGATAGAAAATATCTTCATGAGGAGAAATAAGATTATTGGTTATATCTCCAATAATTAGCAGGCACTCAATAAATGTTTAATTGAATGAATGAATGGCAATTCACATCCCACTGTATATTTTATCTGTATATTCACTCAGTTATGGGAAAGGTTTGACTCTTGCTTTTCTCATTCTTTTAATACTTTCCCACCTACATATAGATTTCTTCTCTTATTTAGAGAGTAAGTCTGATCCTTCTCGTATTATTATAAATAAAAAGAAATATCATGGTGATGAGATAATAATAGCTATTTGCAGTTACTCTCAAACTTCCAAATACTTAAGTGGTGGGAAAATGAAAAAGGAAATACATGAAGAATGGTTGGAAGTTAGCAAACATAGAAGAAAGGCTGGTTGCTAAATCTTGCAGGTGCATAGGAATTGGAGCATAGAAGATTTAATTAATGCTTATTGAAATGAATGTTTGAAGAACGTGATAGAAATATTGACAATAAAATGTGAGAAAGCAAATATTCTAGACTGATCAGAACTATTTTTGATGTGAAACAACTGAATTTTTTAGTATCAATATAAATAATTTTAATTAATGTTTTGTGCAGTAGCTTTGAAACTATGTTATATAGATCCCTAAGATTCTAGGGATATATCCCAAGAGCAACTGTCAAACTTGGAGAGGTGGCCCTGATAATTTGTAAAGCTCAAGAGAAGCCCCTTCTGAAGAAGGTCAAGCTGCTTCATGAACTTCAGTGATACAAATCACTCTTTGTCAGGGGGGATAATGATAAGTCAAATGTCACAATTTTAGTGATGAGTATGGAATTCACAGACATTAGAGAGGTCCAATTTGTTTGTGGAGCCATGGTCAAAAGCAACTGATTCACAATCATAGCCATGAATTTTGTTTTTCAAAATATAAGCAAGAGAATTTGTTTCCTAATTCTACAAAAAGAGGGTACTACAAGGCCCAGGCAGCAACTGACAAAGCTAGATTCTTATTTTTATAAAACTTCAGAAAAGTCCTAGGAGAAGATAGCAGATTCTTTCTAAGGACTCAACTCCCAGGATCTATGTCCTTAGACCTCCTCTATTGAATGAAGACTTCTAAGAAAGTTGTTGATTGTCCTTTACATGATGACATTAAATTGAGATTTGAAAAAAATCAACAATTGAGAAATCCTGTAGTAGACTTTTCCTTTCCTTTTTCTATATTTTAAGAAATATAAATTAGAGGTGTGTGTGGGGGGGTGTCTCTAAGTGTTTTAAAAAACATTTGGGCTGTGGTTCATGTGTAAATGTACCAAAATAAACATGAACTAAAAAGAATAGCATTGTTTGAGCTAGAATTAGTTGAAATAATTAGAGATTTAGATGTTTGTGCTTTATTGCTTATTGAATGTATTGATCTGTTTCTCTGAGTGAATGTCTCCATATTCTTGGAGAGTCATTGCTGACCTCACTTCACCTAGTTTTATTGCCTAATTTTAGCATATGTTGCCTGAAAGCTAGTGACAGGAAGTGGGCAGGTAGCTGCTTGTCATTAGGATTGCTCAAAAAGGGTGATATGAGTTATATTTCTTACACTAGGAGGTTGTACTGAATAGCTTTTAAGGACATAGAGCCATGCACTCCACATCTCTCAATTTTACAATCCCAGGTTCAGTTATTCAAAATCTATATCCTGAACTTAAAAAGAGAGATGTTCTCCTGTCATGTGTGAATTTGGAAGCTCTAGCTTGATCTTTCCAAAACAAGGCAATAGGCCTATCTAAGAACCTCTTCTAGGAACTTCTAGAAACCACGTCTAGAAACTTCTAGTCTAGGAACTTATGCTGGCGAGGACTTCTAAACGTACCTTGAGAGGTTGCAAATCTCCAACCAGGAAAAGTGGACCCACATCAATATCTGGGTCTTTTGGGTAAATGTTTGGTTTTATGTGATGTTGGAAGTGTCGGTGATTCCACCATTTTACTGACAGGCCCTGAGGAGAAGAGAGGGTTCATTAGTGGTGGCAAGATTTCTCTTTTGAAATGCCCTTCAGGATTAGAGTTGTTTTTTTACATGCATCTCCAAAGTCAAAACAAGACATTTGAGCTTCTCAAATTTGCTCCCCACTGCTGGGTCACAGAATGATTCATTGGACAGGGGCTCTCAAAGCCTACAAATAAATAGTCATCTGAGTCATAAATTCAAGCTCAAACAACATGTGATGATGAAAAATCATAAGAACTGATGAAATGAAATAATTTCCTATCTTTCTATTTTGAATCTCATTTAAAAAAAAAAAAAAATTCTGTCTCTAGGTGGTTTGGCTCAATGGATACAGCACCCGCCTGCAGACTGAAGGGTCTCGGGCTCGATTCTGGTCAAAGGGAGTTACTTTAGTTTAGGGGTGTCGAACACAATCAGAGAAGGGGCCAAAATCTAAAATCCAGCCTAAATCGCGGGCCGAATGGTTTACTGAACAGTCATAAACTGTCATTGTGATGGAAACGCAGCGGAGTGCAGTGATGACAGCGCGGTGCGGGCCACATTGCAAGGCCTGGAGGGACGGATTTGGCCCTCGGGCCTTGTGTTTGACACATGTGCTTTAGTTGAAGGCTCCTCCCTGGTTGGGGTTTGTGTAGAAGGCAACCAATCAATGTGTTTCTCTCACATACCTATTTCTCTCTGTCTCTCCCTCTCTCTCCCTCTCTCTCTCTCTCTCTCTCTCTCTCTCTCTCTCTCTCTCTCTCTCTTTCTTTCTCTCTCAAAAAAAAAATAAGGGGAAAATATCCTTGAGTGAGTATTAAAAAACATAAAAAATAATTCTGTATGTAGGTGGGGCAGAGAGTGTTTTTTTCTATTTAAAAAAAAAAAAAAAGGTCATTTGCCTCTCAGCATAACCATTATGGCTTGTCACAGTTTAGGTTCTTACAAGGGTATTTCTTGGATCACATGATCTCACACTTTTAGAGGAAATAATGAACAACATAAACTGATGAACAAAAACAGACCCAGAGAAAAAGAAGCAGCGATCAGACTCTCAAACCTCAGAGGGAAAGTAGGAGAGGGTGGGGGTAAGGGAAAGAGATCAACCAAAGGACTTGTGTGCATGCATATGGGCCTAGCCAGTGGCCATGGATAACAGGGGGGTGGGAGCATATGTAGGGAGGGGTTTGGGATGGGAATGGGGGGATGAGGACAATTATATGATACCATAATCAATAAAAAAAAATAAAAGGAAACATCAGCTCTAAGACTTTAATTAGTTGTGGAGGAAAAGAATGGCCCTAGGAATCCTACTTCAATGAGTATTTCAAAGCATATGGATTTGAAGTGATCTCCTAGGGGAGCTTGGCTCAGATCATTGCATGTCTAGGCTTTAATGCTCTCATATAAAAATAAATGAGAACAAAAATATTTTAGCTGATGTCAAGCTTGAATCATCCCTGATTAGGTTGCTTGTGATTTTATCTCTTTGAATTAAACTCTGAAGGTTTTAGCAGAGCAAAGGAATTAGAGGCATATCAAGCTAGTTTCATATACTAGATGTATAAATATTACTGTGTGGTTTGGGCAAATTACCTGCTCTCCTTAAGGCTCAATTTTATTTCCAGTAAAAATAGTATGATAATATTTACCTCCATGAGTCATTTGGGGAGATATGAGAAGTTTTATGCAAAACGTTGGCATACTGAGATATTCAATTTCCCCTTCTTTCCTCTATTATGTTAATCATTCACAGAAGAATAAGCAGCAGTAGGTTTTTATTGTGTATTTGACGTCTCTCAATAACTGGCCAATACATGTTTTAGCTCTTAACTATCCAATACAGTAGCCATAGCCATATGTGGCTATTGAATATTTGAAATGTGACTAAATTAAGATGGATTGTAAGTATATGATACATACTCAATTTTGAAGACTCAAGATAAAAAAAGAAATATAAATATCTTAATTTGTAGGCTGATTACCTATTGAAATGATGATATTTGAATACACATAGTAATAAAATTATCTTTTAACATGTGGCTATTAGAACATTTAAAGTGACTTACCAGGTACACACTATACATCTATGGTACAAGAGGTGGCTTTGTTTGAAAAATCTGTTAGCATTGACTTCCCATAGTCTTCATTGCAGTTTTCTCTTAGCAACCCAAGCCCTCAATCATCAGGAGCAGTATTCTCTTCTCACTTCTAACATTCCCTAATGTCCTTTCAGTGGAATCTCTCTTCAGTCCAGCGCTCTCTCCTGAATCTCATGCTTGAATGGGAGATCACTTTTAACATTTTCTTTGGATGTCCCATGACTTCTCAAACTCAACATGAAGTCATTGGTTTCTATTCCCCTTTTTGGGTCTCCAATGGACTCTGCATTTCTCCTATTAAATTGTACACCACACACTCACTCTTACAATTGTGTACTCACTCATTTATTTACCCACTCATTATGTACTTTGAAGTATGTCCCATGTATCAGATACTGAAGTAGACAGTATTTAGAATATAAAGATAGACATGATTAGATGGGATTCCCACATTTATAAAACATATAATTTATTAAGAGCAGGAGACAACTAAACAAGGACACTGTGATAAGCAATAGTTCTCTTTTTCAATTAAATCTTCTGATAACCAATATCTTGGCCTCTTCTACCAGCTTACTGTACCCTTCATCCAACAACTATCTATGGAAATATGTAATATGACAGACAGGGTTTGATTCACGAAGGTCAGAGAGCGTCTGCTCAAGGTTGTGGAACTTAGAACAGTGGTCAGAATGGTGTGGGTATGATCTAAAGCAGCTTGCTCCTCCCTGGCTCCTCTGTCTGGAAGCTACAATTTCTGAAGATAAGGGAGAGAGTGATCCCTGGGGAAGTAAGGATTATCAACTTTGCTCAAAACAGGCTACTGGGCACCAGTACAGGAACCACCCTAAGGCATTCTTTCTTTTCACTTTATGTCCTTTCTTAGGGTAATAGCCAGGGTTTGAACTGAAACCATCCCGAATCTAAAGTCCTGCTACTAGGTGTGTGCCCTTGACCAATTTCATCAACTGTAAAATGGATGAGGTTACTGGAAGGATTACAGGAAATATCATGCTTGACACTCTTGTCCCAAAAATGTTTTAGGATGTAGTCATGGAAACAATATAAGCCAGATTTTTAAGGAAGATTTTCATTTCAACTATTCTGCTTCTTTATCTCTATAATAATACTTGATTCTTATAGTTTGCAAAATATGCATATGGGTGTGAGGGGTAAAAATATGCTACAGGGATTCCATTTTGATTTTCACATTGCATGGAAGTCCAAAATGTCTGCAGACATTTCATGGTTTATTTTCAGAAACACTATTTTCTTATGCAAGCATGGCAAAGAGCAGAATGTATATATTTTTGCACAGCTGGTGAATGAAAATTCCAAATAATCTCAATATCTGTGCCTTTTCCAGGTGGGAGGAGGGTAAATTAATGTGAAATCAAGCTTTGAAATTTAAAGTTGTTGTACATGTACAAAGCGGAGATGTTTGCTGTTTGTAGGATAATTTTCTTTGATACCCCCCTCCTCTTCCCAGCCCACCTTTCTTCCCCACAGGTAACTCTCTCCTGTGCATATTGAAGCCTATATTAGTTTTGCTCATAAATCACTAGTTTTGCCTGTGTGCACTTGATTTGCTTTTATTTACTTTTAAAAGCTTTATTGTTGAAAGTATTACAGATGTCTCCCTTTCCTCCCATTGATCCTTTCTAGACCACTTTGATTTGCTTTTAGAGCCATTTACCATTTATTTACTCTGGTCATGAGTCATCAAGATTATATCCAAAACTATTTCTGGAGACACAATTTATAGCAAGAGAGCTGTGTACAAATTTGGATCAATGGGAAAGCAATAGTTTTTGAAAAAAATACCAGCAAGGGTGGAGTTGATTGAAATATTCCATTCACTGGCATTAAATCAATTTTTAATTATCTCCAGAGCACATGAATCTCATTTTTCCTCTTACTTCCTCAGAGACTGAGAGGGTACACTACCTGAATCCCACAATACTATATAAAGAACCACTTCTGCTTTATTTCTGTGTTAAAGATTTCTAAGTGAATCCCAAACACTTCATCTAACACTAGTAGATAAAGAGGCGAATAGTGTACTTACAGGAATTTTCTCATTAAACTTGTTACATAAAATGACAATATATTATTCATTCTAACCATGTGGGGAACAGATATTGCTGACCTTAATCCTGATTCAAGTCTCTGATATTTTATGATATTTAAGCCTCATTTTGCCCAACTGGAAACAGGGTAGGATTAGATGGTGATTCTAACCAAGTATCTTCCAATTCAATATGAAATCACTTCAGTAAGAAAAAACAAATAGGCTCTGAAGCAGGGCTTATGAGTTTTTCCTATGAGAATCTGGCTTGAATGGAAGGATTCGGCTTAGTGAAAGGCTCAGAGGCATTTTCTATCCTCCTGGGCCAGAGCACATAGTCATCAAATCCTAGAATGTCATAGAAAAGCAGAAAACAAATTTATCTCCTAATATTACAAATGATAACACTTGAGGGCCAGAGATAGAAAGTGACTCCCTCAAGGTCACACAGTGAATTTTATCAGAGTCAGGACTAAGAGCCATTCTTAGCAGTCTTTGGTTGGCTTCATTCATTCAATCATTAATTAATAAGTAATTAATCCATCCATTCATCCATCCATCCATCCATTCATCCACCCACCAACTCATTCAACAACTGCTCATTGAAGAACTATGTGCTGGACACTTTTGCTGGGTGCTGCATTGCAATGATTCGTAGGACACTGTGCCTGCCCTTCTGGAGTGTATGTTAGTGGGGATAAGACTAACTGCTATCATAGGCACCTGCTTTTCCAGCAGTCTTGGTTTTGCAACCTTCAGCTCTTGGCCAAAGCCATCTGAGCGTCCTTGCCCACTCTTCCTCTTTCTCTTCACTTTTATCTATTCTTCTGCACTGTTTCCTTTATTTCTTCACAGCCACACCCTTTTGGGACTATTCAGGCTTGCTGGATTCCCCTAGCTTCCCAGCAGTAAATGTGCAGAGCCCTCCTAAGAATATTCCTATTCATGAATTTATAGGACATATCTTCATTTTTAAAGGCATAACAGTTCTTCTGTGAGGAGTTCCTTAACTGGGAGCCAGGGATTGGGTCAAAAAGCTTACTTGGGTAAGAAAAAATGTTAGAGCTTCTTAAATAAAAAATAAATCCTTATATTGTAAAAACTTAAAATTCTATTTTCAGCATATATATTATAATGTAATCTTACATATTTGCACATATACATAGTATCTACATTGCTAGTATATTTACATTTACTTTCAGGGTGTGCACAAACATTTTTTATTGATCTGAGTGCACAAGCAAATTTGGAAGCCACTGCCTTAGGAAATGACTTTTGAGAATTTCCTCATACTCCCTGAACGTCCTGTACCTTGAGATGACACATCACAAATCTGTGCATCAGGTGGTTCCACTTGGACTTCTTAAATATGGAAAGATGACCGGTGTCATGCTGCAAAAATGAACTCTGGGCCTGGAAGAGATAAAGTTGTTAGAGGAGCTGAGACAGGAAGAAGAAATTAACAAATGAGTCCACTAGTTGATTCAGGGGCCCTTTTGAGAACAGTGGGAGATTTTGTCTGATCTCAAGGCAAATGAACTTTCTATTTCCCACACAGCACATTCTTTCCCACCTCTGTGCCTTTGTGCAGGTGGTTTCCTCAGCCTAGAATGCTCTCTTTGCCACCACGTTCAAAATCTTCCAGTGTGGAGTAGAAAGAGCATAGCCTTTGGAATCAGGAAGATTTGAGCTCTAAACCGTTCTTCACCAGTTTTGAGCTGCAGGATTCTTGGCAAGTTATCAATAACTCTGAAACTCATCCGTCATCTGATAAGTAGGGATAATAACACTACTCTTTCGGCTGTTGTGCAACATAAATACATGTAAAGTTCCTGGCTAAAGTTTAATTCTTTTCTTGCTTCTAAAGTCACTTTTCAAGGAACCATGTAATGTGGTGTTCAAGAAAAAAGTTAACATAAAATATTCTGGAATTAACATTGGTGTTAATTCCCCATAAAACCTTCCCCATTTGTCCTTTTCAGAAATAAATGCCTCTTTGTGCTCCAACAGTACTGCTTGTCCTTCTCTTTGGCATCAGTGTCATTTGGTCATGTAATATGTTTAGATACTTCAATGGCAATCTTATTCTTCACTGGGTGGTTCATTTCCGAGGGCAGGGACCAGGTGCATTTCCCTTTGCGTCCAAAGCACAGTGTTGTGCTCACAGAAGGCTATGTTCAGAGATTCATACTTTACTCAGCAAAGATTTATTGAGTCTACATGCCAGGTGTTGATTGTCATTTATGGCAGAATCTACATGTTCTTATTCTCATACTAGAGGCCTGGTGCATGGATTCGTGCACCAGTAAGGTCCTTCAGTTTGGCCTGTGGGGATCTGGCCAAAACTGGCTCTCTGACATCCCCTGAAGGGTTCCAGATTGAGGTGGTTCTTGGGGTGATGGCACCACTGAATGAGGCTTCCTCCTCTCTGGTTCTGAGTGTGTCACCCAAGAACTTCAGCTGCCAAGTCACAGCAGCTTGGCAGCACCTGTGTTGAGTGTCTTCCCCCTGGTGACTAGTGCACATCATAGCTACCAGTCAGATGTCAAACGGCTGGTGGGCTGGTCACTTAGGCTTATATATATTTAGATAAGATGTAGTCTCTGCTCTTGAAGTATTCATGGTCTATGCATTGATAAATGCTGGTTGGTTAATGAATAAAAGATAAAGATGAATGTGATGTAACTAAAAACTGAACTTGTGTGGACAAAAATGGGTAAAGAGTAGCAACTGTCATAAATTAAATATTTGCATTATGCCAGTTGTTGTGCTAGGACTCACATGTGTCAAACACAAGGCCCGCGGGCCAAATCCGTCCCTCCAGGCCTTGCAATGTGGCCCGCACCGCGCTATCATCACTGCACTCCGCTGCGTTTCCATCACAATGACAGTTTATGACTGTTCAGTAAACCATTCGGCCCGCGATTTAGGCTGAATTTTAGATTTTGGCCCCTTCTCTGATTGAGTTCGACACCCCTATGCTAGGTGTTGTTCACATTAACTTGATTGGCCCTCCTCAGAAGATTTTTATTAAAAAAATGTTATCCCCCATATTATAGGCAAGAGAACTTGGGCCCAGCAATATTTGATAATCTGCTGGGTCAGACACCAATGAATAGCTTTCCAAGATGTATCCAGCAGCAGCTGACACCAATCTAAAGAGAGAAGAAGACATTCTGAGCCTTTCCTCAAAGCTATTGCCTGGGTTTAGGATACCTGCTTACCTGAGAAATTGTTAGAAGAAAGGAAATACATATTGTAATTGGCCAGCCATTGCCAAAATGCCACAGCATTAGCCAAGCCAGGACTTCCAAAATCAAGATCTGGATGAGGTGAAGGGAAAAGAACCCCAGGCTGGCACTGAACATGTTCATAGCCTCTAATGTCCTCCGCAGTTCTCGGAAATCTTCCACCAACTGGGCCTGTGAAATATTCAAAGAGGAAATTAGTTCTTTCAGGAGAAAGAAAGCTCAAATGATCATGATTACTAATATATTTTATTAACTTATTAGTACCTTAATTTTATAAATAGAAATTTATTAGTATTAATACATTTAATAGGGCAGAATTAAAAAAAAAACAATGAGGAAAAAAAACCTTTGAAAAGTGTTATGATAATTTTTTTTTTTCCTCTAGAAAAGAGAAAAATGAGTAGTGGTTTGTCAACTATCCTCAAGCTGCATGGAATTTAGAATTAATGTTTTGTTTTTTTTTTGAAGGGTGGTGGTGGTCAGTAAAGATATATAAAAGTCAGCCCGGTCAGTGTGGCTCAGTGGTTGAATGTTGTCCTATGAACCAGGAGGTCATTGTTCAATTCCCATCAGGGCACAGTTGGCGGTCGATCCCCAGTGGGGGGCATACAAGAGGCAGCTGATCAATGATTCTCATCATGCTTCTATCTCTCCCTCTCCCTTCTTCTTTGAAATCATATACAGAAGTCTAACAGTTGTTTTTGAAACCATCAGTATTATTTCAGGTGTTGACTGATTTCTGGTTATGCTTTGGAGAACTTTGTTGTCCATATGGATCTATGTTACCATAGATACTGGTACAGTTTACAAGTTATTTTTACAGTTTTAAAAAAGGTATTTTTGTTGTTGACAGTATTACAATTATCCCCCATTTCTGCCCCTTTGTTCCCCTCCTGGCCCCTGGCCCCCCTCAGGCCTTCACTTCACTGTTGTCTGTCCAAAGGTTATGTTTATATGAATATAAATTCTTTTTTATGCATATAAATTTGTTAATTTCATCCCACCGTCCCTCCTTCCCTCTGAGATCTGTCAGTCTGTTACATTGCCAGTTGTTTATAGGTTCAAATGGCTGGTTCATAGAAGATTATGAAGATAAACAAACATAGGTCACTTAGATTAGCTCAATGGATAAATTCCCTGTGAGCTGATAATAGATCTCCAGAAACAAGATAGATCTCTAGTGGCATTAGAGTGTTGCTTGTTGGAAAGGTCCAGGTTCTGTGCACATGCAACGGGTAAATGTGCATGTGTGTGTATGTACAATGCTAGTCACCATTGTCACATCATAATAGACTAGAGAGCGAGTGCAAATCCTGGGCAGAAATATCTTTTAACTTAATGACTATTATGGTGTTGAAACCAGGCCTGTTGAGAAAGTGACCAGAGTATAAGCAAGAACCAGATTGTTCAGATGTAAGAAAGGAAGAAATTTGAAATAAAAAAGAGCTAAGAACATAATTCTATTTTAAAAATTCATTGATGCAACGTTTAAAGGATCTCATGCCTGGGGAAAGTTTGGATGGGCTCATTGATCAGGCCCACATCAACCCTGGAATCTGGAGGCCATAGATAATTTTAATAGGTCATCTCTAGAGTGCCTCATGTTTTCCAACCTATTTATTTACAGAGACAGGATTACCAAAGCCCTGAAGAGTGATTGGTCTGAAACCATCAGCAAGTCAGTGAGAGGCTGGATTTGAACTTATGTTTCCTGACATCCAGTTTTGTGCTTAAACACTAATTGTCTACGTATATATCTAGGTAAATACAAGAGAATCATTCATTGTCTAAAAGAGTGTTGATCTCTAGGAGTGACCCTAAATTTTCTTTAGTTTTATATCCTATTGTACTTACATATGTATCTTCACATAGATGCACTAAAGAAAATTGATGGTAGATCGTTACCTCCTTATAGCTCTTAGGCATTAGTAGGAGTTTTTTTTCCTTATAGAATATTTTTGGGAAAAACAAGCTTTGCATCATCTTCCTCTTTTAACTTTGGCCCTTCTGCCCTAAGTGATAGTGACTTCATAATAATGATAGCATCTAAAATTTATTGAGCATTTGCTGTTTTCCAGACACTGATCTGAGCATTTAAATGCCTTTAACTCTTTCTATATTATCCCAATAACTCTGATAATGTTGGTTCTATTATTGCCATTTTACAGAGCGAGAAGCTGAGCTGCAGAGATTTTTGGTAACTGGCCTAAACTCATACAAGTTATGGTAGGGATAGGTTGTGATTCCAAGTTGTCTACCCTCAGAGCCCACCCTTCTGAACACAGAGCCATGCTTCTTGACACACACAGCATTATGGGATGAACTTGGATCGAAGGGGTGAGCTTAAGTGTTTGTCTCAGATCTACACATAACCTGTTCTATATCCTCAGATTCTCCCTGGACCTCTGTGAGTTTGATTCCTCATTTCTTAAAGTGGAAATATAATCCTTATTCTATCTGCCTCACAGTGATAGATGGAGTCAGCACTTTGTAAAAATTATTTCCAAAGAATTATAAAATGTAAGGTGTCTATTATCTGAAATCCCTTTAAGCTTTCTGTAAAATCATCCTGGTGAATTTTTAATCTTATAGAGACCCAGTCCTTTGGAAGACAATGTTCAGGTAGCCAAAGTATTGGAGAAAGAAAGAGTGATGTCTTTCCTTGGGAGTCCCTAATGAATAGAGGTCAGAAAAGAGTGACTTGGAATCTCTGTTCAAAACACCAGCTATGGGACTTTCATAAAGGAATTTATTTTCCCTGGACTATCATTCCCCCAAATCTCACAAGGGCAGTAGTTAGAATATGGTCACATCTGTGATTCAACAGCTATTTATGTAGTTTCTACTATATGTCTGATACTGCCCAGATGAGTCCTGAGGACATAGGGATAAGCCAAATAGACACAATCTCTTCTCTCATGGAACACAGTGTATCAGGGAGCATAGACATAGACATTAAACTGATAATTACAAGCAGTCACTGACAAAAATTATATGTATAAATTACCTGGCATGAGTAGGTGTTTAGAGACATGGAATTACTCCTTGGCATAGGACCAAAAATTCTATTCCTTTGTTTCACAGAGGTTTCAGAGTTCTGAGTGGGAGGAGAACATTGTTTGGAAATTATGTGGCATCCACTTACTCACACTACTGCAGGTCCACCCAGGCATGATGGTTGGGTGCTCAGAGAAAATGATAAGTTGAACCTGAAATATACCTTGGCCCCATCCCACCACATATTCTTGAGGCTTGAGACATCACTCACGTTTTTGTTTCTTTCCTGGCTGGGTTCCCCTGGGGCAAGCTCTCCAATGAGTAGTGGCTTAAGGTACAATCGTGCAATGTCAAGCTCCAGGTGCATAGCTCTGAAAACATCCTGGAAACCAGAGGGAATTGTTAGAGGCTAGAAGAGACATGCTTATATACAGATTAGTCCCCTTCCTGACCTCACTCTGTGCCCATCCAGAGAACCAGTACATACTCTGTTGTAGAGAATTTGCTTCCTGGTTGATGCTTCAAGTGGACTGAGCAAAATTACCCTTGGAAATACTCTTTTAAAGCTGGAGATCCACCTACTGAATGCACTGATTCACTAGACAAGTCCAATGCATCCAGATTATTCCCAAGAATTGGAAGATACCTCTGTTTATTTTATTGAGAACCAGAAGAAATAGTGGCTTGAGTTTATGGGCCATCAAAAATCTTTCAAGTCCAACACCATACTTAGGGTTGAAGTTGCTTACACTAGCTAAGGCATGCAGCAATCAAGACTGGCTATGCAGATCTTGTCTTCCATCCAAGTCTGCCTCTGGGTTCTTAGCCAAGGACCAGAGCAATGGGGTTCTTGAGTTAAGTTATTTAAAAGCAAAAACCACAAAGTTGATAATAGTTGTTTAAGAAAAGTATGGAAGAGAGTATGGTAGCTCTTGTGCTCTGGTAGCACAATCTTGGCTAAGTTTGTCACTGATCTTAAAAACATGAGGCAGGTCTGCAGGGGCGTGTGGCAGCCAGGCACAGAATCAAATTTATCAATTCTACTTTTCCATCCCTTGCTGAGTAAAGATTTCAAATGGCTATGAGAAGTAGCAGTGGTTCCTATATCATGCTTATATTTGGAAGTGAGAGACATCCTCTTCCTTTGGGGATTTAAACAGTTTTAGAGGGAGGGTGGTTTTCTAAGAGGAAGATGCTAGACTTTCTGCTATTATGGCAGAAAGGGGGGGTGGGAGTGATTAAAAATGAAGAAATATAAACAAGGTTGTAACTTGTATACATGGAAACCATACACATTACTCTGAGTTATGTTGTTGCATCGTACTAATTAAGAAGACACAGGAGCAACCTTCCTACATATAAATCCTAGCTTTGCCACTTACTAGCTGTGTAGTTGTGGACAAGTCTCTTGACCTAGTTGTACTTCTCTTTTGTCTAACATGAAAGTGATGATAATAGCTGCTCAATTCAGAAAATGATTATATGTATTAAGTGAATTAATTAAAATATGGTTGGCAGATAGACAATTCTCAATATATGTTAACTATCTTTCTTATATGTATATCTCTAGCGATAAGAACTTACTACTTATCCTCTCTGCATGACAGCAATTCAGATATTTTATTCCCTATACTCCAATTCCTAATGTGTTGTGAGCTCTGAATTATTTTGGTGAATATGATAATTCACCATCTTTAAATCATAGAGCCACTTTAAAAGGTCCTTGAGAGCTTGTTTGGAGGTTCTAGCAGGGGAGCGCAGCTACTCCTATACCCTTGACCGAACACCGGTCCTTTCCTCTTGGGGGAAAGTCGTCCTCTTCGACCGAGCGCGCAGCTTCGGGAGGGACACACATGGATCGGTGAGGGAGAAGGGGGACACCGCCTAGCCAGCCAGATCAGCCGAATCAACCCTGGCAATCAATGGGGTGACAGATGTCGCAACCAGATCGCCCTCACATCCATAGAGCCACTTTAGATATAGCCAAGAACTACATTCCCTACTTATAAAAAGGTGCTTATATAACGAATAAGGTGTTAATTGGAAAGCTGAAATATCAACTCTTTGGACTTATTTCACCTAGATTCACTCATGTGAAAAAAGATTTGTATATGCTAAAACCAGTCTACGCTCAACTGTCCATTCTGCTTCTGCACACCTCCTCTAAGCCCCTTGGAAAATGCCAAACTATGATTTCAAACGTATTTTTAATTGTCACATTCAATGATTCTGAAACTTAGTTTTCCTAACCATGAAGAGAATCATTTAGTGTTTAAGAAGGTGATTAAAGTATTTCCTGATGATCCATACTGAAAAATCATGGTCTGCTTGCTATTTGGGAGCAGATTAGAATGAAAAGCATTCTGATAGATAAAGATCAGAGTGTAAAGGAGAGGTAAACTACTGCAATTTCATCTTAGTCTGAGCAGTCATCCAAAGTCCTGGAACAGTGTGCTGACAATCACATTCCTCTGGGTTCATTGTTTCTTCTGACCCCCAGCAAGGTTCACCAGTCAGTACTGTGATAACAGGTACTGAAGACATACACAGTGTTCCAGAATAATAGGCATTGCCTTTCTCTGTGGAATTCTTTTCATTGTATTGATGGGCACTTACAATAAAAAAGTTTAGCTAATCTTAGAATATTTGATTTAGAAGAATTTCCTAACAGAGACTGAATGCTGAGTCAGTTATGAAATCCCCTCCTGAAAGACCTGCAAAAACGAGTTGTTACCAACATTCTTGGGCAAGTATGTTCCTGCTGGAGGAAGGAGAGGGGATAAAATGAAGGGGAAAAGAGATACTGCCAATATTTATGAATGTATCCTATGTACAAGGTGCTCTATGGGCCAATTCACAATCATCATCTTAGTTCTGTGAGGTTTCATTGATTCTCTTGTAAAGGTAAAGAAACCATGTCTCAGAGGGGAGAAATGTCTGGCCCCAAATGTCACAGTGAATAGTAGAGTCAGGATTTGAATTCAGGGCTTTGTGACTTTAAAGCCACAAAGATATAAAGGGCCATTCCAGCCTTAACATGTATATATATTTTTGAAAGACTTCTCAAGAGAGGAGCAGCATCAGATTTTTGGGGGATGGTGCTAACATCAGAATGTTTCTGCTGAGCATAGAGTAATGGTGTCTCCCCACCTTAGGTTGCAATCATGTGAATCATTTTGCCTCGGGTTTGAACCTCTCTTCCTAGGCTTAGCTTTCATCAGACCCTTCATGAACCCCATGTTATTCACTGGATCTCTCCCAATTCAATAAACATTTTACGCCTCTTCATGGTTTTGCAGTTTTGCACATACTGTTCCCTTGCCTTCATTGCTTTCCTCTGCTCTCTCTACACAAAAGCTCTTCTTCACCCTTCATGATCCAAATGAAATATTTCCACCGTGAACCCACCCAGGACAATTATTCATGATCTCCTCTGGGCTCCTAAGACACATTGTTCCTAGAACTTTTCAAATTATATTGTAAGCAATCTGTTTCTCTACCCCTTCTCTAGTGGCCTTTGAGTTTTTTGAATATTGGGACCATGTGCTATTGATTCCATTATATATATACCATCTATCAGTATACCTGGGGTATGGCATGTGATCTTGGATGTCTAATGTATAAGGGAAATGAATGAATGAGTAAATGAATATAGGGTTTTTCTTTTTAATCCTCACCTGAGAAAGAAACATTGATACAAAGGAAACACATTACTTGGTTGCCTCCTGCACATGTCCCAACCAGGGCCCTGGCTGAGGAGAAGCCTGCAATGGAGGTACATGCCTTTGACTGGCGTCAAACCCCTTGGTCCACAGGCCCATGCTCTATCCAATTAAACAAACACACTAGGGCTGAATATAGAGTTTTTCTAACAAGGAGAAAGTTGGGATTATCAAAGTGTTGAACTCAGAGGATATAGGTCTTATATATCCTATCTCCTTCCTATCCTCTGTATCTCTCATTTTTTACCTTTCTCCTGCTTTAGCCTCTCTCATTTTCATCTGTTAGCCTTTTGAATATCTTCTCAACCATCATCTATACCCCTTAACCTATTCATAAATTTATATCAAAATTTATTATTTTCAAAACAATATACACACAGGAAATATGTCATTTTTCACAAATAGCTTGGAAATCCTTATAATTTTTTGCTACTTTTTAATGGGGGACAAAGATATGTGCCTTACTGTAAAAGCAGTATGATTCCTAGTGGAAGAGAAAAGTATGTAATGCCAGAGACAAAATCTTGCCTTTACAACTCAAGTACTGTATCCAGGTTGTGCCCTGCATGAAGGCACCCAGCCAGGAGGGAATGTATGGGCTGAAATTCAGCCAGTACTCTGCTTGCCAACTTCAGCTATAACCACCCAAAGTCACCGTGCAGGTTAGTAGGGGGTCAGGCTAGTTTATATTGGGAAGATGACTTAATTTTTCAAGCCTTGGTCTTTTTTCTAAACGTGAGTAATACTGCTACTCAGTCTTCCCCATAGGTTCATTAATTCCTATGTTCATTTATTTAGTCATTCCAAAATCTACTGAGAAACTAGATAAGTGGTTAAGTGCCTACACTTTTGGAATCAGACATCATTAAATGACTGCATTTTTATATTACTTAATTCATCTGAGGTGGGTTAAAATTTCCCAAAATTCAGGAAAGAAAAAAAAAGGATAACAAATATATGCATGAGTCACAAAACAAAATAACTAGAACCTTGATTTACTACTTCATAAAAGCTCATCAGAATATTCAATACCCAACCACAGACACCCATTACCACCTCTGAGTAATTTCTTCTCTGCTCGCCCTTTACAGATTTTATCTGCCCCAAAGAAATGGCTAGAACCAGTTTGCCTCATATTTTGGGTAGAGCATGAGTTGTGCATAGGCTGATTTGTGAAGGGAATGCAGTTTTTGGTATTTTCTTGGGAGAGAGCCAATTTGGAGTAGAGAATGTCATATGAACTCACCCAGATTTCTTTTCATCCTCAGGGATAAGGATAGAGTTATTTTTCTCACTCACTGTGTAAATAAAAAAAGAAAAGGTACATACTCTGGACAGGTATAGTCATGAGTCCAGGGCCAACACAAAGAGACCATTTTTGGCTCCACATTTTCCTTTCAGAGCATAACCATAAAGACCTCTCAAGTCGTAGAGAGAGTATTGGACATCAAGGCCTCTGACTTTGCTCTGCCCTCCTTCCCTAGAGAGCATGATGCCCTCCACCTTGTACCTGTTCTTTTCAATAGATGAAAACAAATAGAATCAGGATTTCTAAGCTGGTAGTAAACAGAAAGTAATAATCACTTTAGATGTCAGAGATATGAATAGTTGTAGCTACAATGGAATGAAACTTTATTAAAGTGTCCAACATTTTTTAAAACACTTTACAAGCATCCGTCTCATTTACCATAAACCAGTAAGTTGGGTAATGCTGATGGTGAAGCTGAGGTGCAGAGCCTTCCAATAACTTTCCCAGGTTCATAGAATGGATCCCAAACCCCAGGCTCTCCATACACGGAGTAGTCACAGCATATTGTGGTTGTCAGAATTTTCCCAGCACCTCCAAATCATCTTGAGCCACTTTCCCTTGGAGAATCTTTTCTTTGAACATTTTTGGATTCACTTTCCTAATGTCTGAGGTCCGTCATGACTGAACATGCATAGGATTGTCATTCTCAGGATATTAATCCCTGGAATTCTTATAGTTTCTATTTTATTAATCAATTCTCCTTGTTGGCTAAAATTAGATCAGAATCATGGTCTTTTCCTAACTTCTGGGAGGTAAAAAAATTATCAGCAAATTGCAGATTTATCATCTGAGTTGCCTCTAGCTTAGAATTTATTCATGATTTTTATGGTGGTTGAGACCCACATATTTTCCAACATATCCCCTGAGCTTATTCTATGACTTGAGTTGGGAAAGCAATACCATATTTTCTCTGAGTTGTAGGAATGAGGGAAGGGACACACAGGGATCTAAAGTATTTTTTATTTCATTTTATTTTTGTTACCTTTCTCTTTCTACTCTTGTACACATTCTTTCCACCTCACTTCTATCCTCAGCTTTCTGGATTCCTACCCACCATCTATCTTCCTGATACAAAGGTACTCCCATCTCTTGCTACAAGTACATGCTCATTTTCTCAATAAAAAGCTGAACTTTTTAGTGGCGATTGAGCCAACAACCTGGGCATGTACCCTGAATGGTAACCTCTTGGTTCCTGGGTGGACACTCAACCGCTGAGCCATTCTGACTGGGCAAGGTTAGTTATATCCTTTTACTTTCATTTCTTCATCTGTGTAATATGGGCAATAACATCCCTAATTGCAAAAAAAAAAAAATCTTCCTTATAGAATATTTTAAAGGGGCTTCCTAAATTCATCTAAGGATTCAAAAGACCATCCTATTAAATGTTAGATGGAAATTTTATTTGTACGGACTCAGCTACAAAGGTTTTTATGGTAAAACACCTCCCTGATTTCAAAATTTGGCAATATTACTTGGTGGCTCTGTGCATCATTTGCCTCTTTGAATATTAATTTTCTCATCTGTAATATGGAGATGGCATCCACCTTCCACATGGTGAGGTTTAAGTGAGGTGATGCATTTGAATGTATCTAAGGTATTCTAGGCATCCAATAAATGTTACACTATTTTTTCCCCTTTGCTGCTTTGGTGGGGAAATGTGATGAGGAGAAGTAGTGAAGAAAAGTGGAAGATTGGAATCTAAGAAAGATAAAGTTTTTGAATCTGAGCTCTGCTGTTGGATGACCTTGGACCAATCAGTTATCCTCTCTGATTTTAATTTCTTCTTCTATAAAAGTGAGTTGTATTACCTTTTTGACACTGAGTGAGCTGCAAGACACAAAAGTGCTCTGCATAGTCTAAAAGCCTATGTAATTGTAGGCTTTCATCATTGTTATTAACAGCATTTTTATGCCTAACAGATGAATCACCGACTTCCTTTTTAACACTCCACATTAAAGAGCCTGAGAAATTTACACTTGCGTACATTTTTTTCTCTCCAGGTTTTACTCATCTATTTGTAACTTTCTTCTTATAAAACAGCTCCATTTCAAAGCAAAACACCAAGAACAGAACGAAAACCAGAATACACAAATATAATACCCACTGTCAATAACTGAGCTCATCCAAACCTGATTCAGATAACAGCTAGACCTTGAGGCTTAAGTTGCTTCTGAATCCTTGCTGGTTAGAAATCCTGAAAAATTAGTTTGGGAGGAGATGAACTGTTGTGGAGCTTGAGCACCTACTTGACATGCTTTTGGGAAGAGAGTCAAGGTTCCACCCACCCAGCAGCTGGAACAGAGGATAGAACTTGGCTTCCCTTACCGTGGCATCTTCCCCGGCATAGTGGTGGAGAACCCGATGGCCACCTGGATGTCGGTCTGCCCAGCTAGTAACATCATAGACCTTGCGATTGATCACCAGCCACTGGTCGGCCTCCTGATTGTGTCTCTGGATCTCCTGCCAACTGTACAAGTTGAGGCTCTTTCTAGGTGTGTCACCTTTTCCATCTGCCTCTTGCTTTGGGGAGACCTCTGCTTTGCCATTTGCTTCTGGCTTGTCATTTGCCTGATGCTTCTCCCCTACGGGTGGCTGATTCTTTCCTACAAGGCTCCCATTGCCTGCTTGCTTTTCTCCAATCTGCATCATCATAGAACCCCTGAGATTTCTGGGTTGACTCCTAAAACTTCTGATCCTCACCTCTGATTGGATCGTAAACTAGTCTCTCTTTCCCTTTTATTCCATTTGTAGTATGATGCCTGCACAGAACATTTCTTTTTAGCCTAATTCTCTCTTCCCAAAACTTGATGGTGAACACATCCCCAGTTTCTCACTTCTGTCTGTCCTGAATCTTTTCTACCTGGATGGAGGCTGAACCACCTTTCTCTCCTCACTTTTCTCCCTGCTGGCTGGTCTCTTAGCAGCATCTGTCACCATTAAGTCCTTAAGTAAAGACTTGTGACCAATGGTAGTCGGCACAATGTTGTTGCCCGCCTTCCTCCTCCCCAGGAGGAGGGGCCAGGCTCTGTTAAGTAACCTCCTGCTGGGCATCAAGGTAGGTTGGGTTCCTAGTTCTCTGAATGAACACATTCAGATTTATTAATTCAACATGTGAGCAGAAGCTTTCAAAATCTCTAGGATGTCATGAATACTTGATGGACTTGGGAAATGATCTTTTTGACAGCTATTTCTCCCCAGGGCTTTTAAACTTAAAAAAAAAAAATGTTTATATTTACCAAAAGAGCACGTCAGCAATAAACCAGTTTCTCTCTTTTATTTCGCTTTGAAAGCTGTCCAAGTCTGTTAACACACCTGGAAGTAATAGTGGCAGCTGTTTGTTAGAAAACATGATTTACTTACAAAACCCTGGTCATGTGCTTTATCTGGTTGAATCCTCACATTAACTTTTTGAGGGAGGTGCTTCTAGTGACTCATGTTCCAGCTGAGAAAACACTGGCTGGAGACCTCAGGTAAGATGAGCCATAATCATTTTTTCAATGAGAAGTAAATCCAGATTTTCTGATTCTAAATCCCCAACTCTTTCCATTCAGTTCTCTGAATCTAGGGTATTGACTCAGGGGTTTAGAAATGAGGTGAAGAAGAGATTACAGGGTGGTGGTGGTGGTGTTTTAATGTTAAAAAGAAATAATAGGAAAAGTCTATTTTCATATTTAGAAATTGATACTGAGTAAATCATCAGTGTTTCAGCCCAAGATTTATGTACTCAGGGATTTATTCCAGTATGATTTATAACTGTTAAAAATCAGAAATGGCCGAAACCGGTTTGGCTCAATGGATAGAGCGTCGGCTTGGAAACTGAAAGGTCCCGGGTTCGATTCCGGTCAAGGGCATGTACCTTGGTTGCGGGCATATCCCCAGTATAGGGTGTGCAAGAGGCAGCTGATCGATGACTCTCTCTCATTGATGTTTCTAACTCTCTATTTCTCTCCCTTCCTCTCTGTACAAAATCAATAAAAATATATTTAAAAAAAATCAGAAATGGCTTAAATGTTCAACTATAAACAAGGCTGATATTTTGATGTATAAATTGAATATTATATATATATATATAATATTTAATGACATGGACTGATGTTTGCAATATAACAAGTAAAAAAATTAGTCAATAATATTCTGCTTATGATTGGAGACAAAAATGCTAAAATATTGGTTCTCCCTGTATTTAAAGTTTTTTCTTTCTTTCTTTATTCTGTATGGTCCTTCTAAAATTTTTTTGCAAATGAAGACATGTTACTTTTATAATTTAGATAAAGCAGTTTGTTTGTTTTTTCTTAAATAGGGCACCCAAGAAAGAAAGAAAATGCATTTTGGAGCTAGAAGAATCTGGGACTATATTTGAGCTCTACCACTTATTAGCTGTACAACATGAAGTGAATTACTTTACTTTTTTGGTTTTACATTTTTCCATCTGTAAAGTGAAAAAATAAGCACAATTCTCAGAACTACATTAAATTAACATAAGTGTTTGGTATTTACAGAAGTTTGCAAGGGAGATTAAATTCTATGATATACTAGAGGCTTGCAGTATATCCATGAACCCTAAGGGATATCTGCCTACTTGGCTTAGGTCTGCTTCCTCTTGAAGTCTGGGACCCCTTACTTCTTACTGCCCACCTGCAGTGGAGGTGGGAGAGGCAGGGGGTAGCACTCCTCCTGTTGGAGTGCATTGACCTCCAGGGGGTAGCTCCTGCTTTGAGCATCTGCCCTATGGTGGTCAGTGTGTGTCATAGTGACCAGTCATTCTGCTGTTCAGTCTATTTGCATGTTAGGGTTTTATTATATAGATGGGAAAAGTTAGCATAGTATCTAATATCTAGCGGTATGCAATAGATGAAATAGCTGTTATTATTGTTATTGTAGATATTTTTATTTTTGCTTTGGAAGGTAGTCACCTGTGCTTGTTATTCTCTCAGGCCTCCAAGCCTTACATAATTTTATTTGTTTTAAAATAAATATTATAGAAAAAGTTTTCATTGTTAAGGCCCAGGAAGAGAGACCAGAGGTGTTTGACTATGGAAGGTGAAACTCTTTTGATTTTGCCTTTTGTCCAACCTAAAATAAAGGGGACATCTGGGACTTTTTAAGCTAGAAGTTCTGTTCTACCTTCTTTCAGGAGGAACTGACTCCTGTTTTACTCAATTATGTGGAATAAAGAGAGAGACAGGGTAGTGGGAGAGAAATGGATAAATATGAAGGAAATTATAGCCTACCCTGCTGGTACAGAGGGGTTAAGAACTAGGAGAAAGCCTACGTAGTTACCTAAATATTTGCTATGCTTGTTTGACTGATTGATTCTTACTGCTTGTCTTAGATGTTTTCCTTCAAGGCCAGAAGGTAAAGGTAAGAAAAGCTGATATCCCAGCTGGTGTGACTCAGTGATTGAATGTCAATCTGTGAACCAGGAGGTCATAGTTTGATTCCCAGTCAGAGCATAAGTCTGAGTTGTGGGCGTAGTCCCCAATAGGGGGCCTGCAGGAGGCAGCTGATCAATGATTCTCTTTCATCATTAGTGTTTCTATCTTTTCCTCTCCCATCTTCTCTGAAATCAATATATTAAAAAAAAGTTCTAAAAAAAAGAAACAAGAAAAGCTGCTAGAAAACCTTCAGAGATCAGTTGAAATGGATCAGAAGACACTTCGATGGCCTCAAATGGAATTTCCTTTCTTACACCCTCATAGTAATACTAAAAATTTCCCCCAGGTGAGGGATTACCTGATGTTTTCTGTGCATGTGATGCATATCTAGCCATGTCCATTTACTGTGCATGCTCATCGAAACATACCTCAACATGCTATGATGTAAGCAACAGCCCTATAAAACTGTTTGGTCTTTTGTTCTTAGTGAGAAACAGCTTGGGGAATGACCCCTGGTGCACTCCTTGCTCGCTGGCCAGCAATAAACCTCTACCAAGTGGCTGGACCCAAAAATGAGATACAAAAAGAGGGAACAGATAAGAAAGAAGGAAGTGGTATGGAGTAGAGAAAGAAAGTGCCTATTACAGTGGTTAAAACTGACTAGGTGACTAGGATGCTGGTTATAGCATGGTCTCTAACTAACTGCTGGCCTTGTACCTTCACTGAGGCTGAGCTTCCTTATATGTAACATTGGAAGTTGAAATTGACAACAATGCTTTAAGTTTAACAGTCTATGAAAAGATGAGCAAACTTTCCTAGCCTCATTTTATAGTTAAGTGTAACAATGGGCTTCTGTGTAGGTTATGTGTAAATAGCTGTAGAGTGTTTCTGGCCAACAGGAATGAATTTGCTCTTCCCAGAGGGACCTCTTGTAGCCTACAGCTAGTTCCTATACTGGCCTTGTCACAGATGGAGAGCACAAGACCTTTTGCTTGTTGAGGATCAGTTTCTCCTCATGCAAGGCTCAGAAAGTATTGACACTGGAGGTTTTCTTAGCAAAAGTCCTCAGCTCACTGGGCTCCCAATAATCATTCCTTTTCAGAATAGATGCAAGTTCGTCAGAACCTGGGTATGTGTTGGTTGTATGCAAATCATTCCCAGATCAGCCTCTGGAGAGCTGATTCCCCCAAAGCAATTCATCTTCCCCACCATGTTCTATTGTAACTCTGGGGGAAATGAGATAAGTGCTTCATCTCAGAGGTAAAGCTGAAGATTTTCTATAAGGACAGGATTCTGGACTATCAATCCCATATAGAGTTTTTTGAGAAGCTAGCATCTTTCGCCAGTGGAGTCATTTCAAATCAATCAAGTTATTTACAGGTCAATCTGAGCCTGTTATTGAGTAGCTTCCAGAGGGCTAGCATTGTGCTCCAGGGCTTCATCAGCTTTTAAACTACAGGTGAGTGTTTCTGACCTTTTTTTTTTTTTTTTTTTTTCCATAGGAAGCCAGAGTGGGGATTAACCATGACTTGAATATATGTATTCACTTACTCAAGAGATTTGAGGTAGTACCCTTGGACCAGACAGGTTAGACCAAAGGCAGGCCTTCAGAATCCCAGCACCCTACCTCTCAGCCTGAAGCTTGTCAGACCCATATAGTAGTTTCTCCTGACATTAAGGACTTTTACAGAATTTATCAAAGGTTCACAAAGAATTTATCATTTTCTAGTTGCCATGCTAAATAGCCTGGAGATGAGAGTTAAATAAAACTTCCTTTTCTCTGGAAAACATTTAGTAGTTTCTTTTTGAGAGAATTCACATTCAGGACTATTGCTTCTAGCTCTGTGAATTTAGACAGGTGTCTTAACCTCAGATTTTTCTAAAATAAGGATGATGCTCATAATACTGAATACCTCATGGCATTTTTTTGGTGAAGATTAAATGTGTTAATTCATGTAAAGGGCTTAGCATGTATTAAGTTATCTGTAAGTGCTAGCTAACTAGTATTACTCTCTAATCTCTGAGTCAGCATGTTATTCAAATATCTGATGAGCACTTGCTATGGCTATATACGGCATCTTTACAATAATTTCTGTTTTCTTTTTATTATTATTATTTTTTAAATTATAGTTGACATTGAATATTATCTTCTATTAGTTTCAGATGTACAGCAAAATGGTTATAAAATGAGTAGTCCCTTTATGGAGTAGTCCCTTCTGGCTTTAAGTACCCACACATAGTTATCTCGATATTGTTGTCCGCACTCCATATGCTGTAATCTACATGCCTGTGGCTATTTAGCAACTACTAATCTGTATCACTTAATCTCTCCTCCTTTTCACCAGTCCCCCAACCTCCCTCCCCTCTGACAGCTGTCAGTCTGTTCTCTATATCTATGAGTTTGTTTCTTTTTTGCTTGTTTGTTTATTTTGTCCATTAGATTCCACTTAGAAGGGAAATCATATGGTACTTGTATTTCTCTGACTAGTTTATTTCACTTAGCTTAGTAGCCACTGTTTTCTTAAAGGAAGTAAGAAGACGGTCAAGTGGTGAAGAAAAAG